GGTTAAAGGGGGGGGGACAGGCCGTACAGCCCCATAACAAAACTTAGATAATTTCATAGCGTTTCACATTTAGCTTTAGATATGAAAAACGCACAAAGACTGAAAAAATGGGAAATTTCCGTACTTGAAAATTTCTGAAAATGACCAAAAAAGTCAAACTGTTGAAAATATCTCTTAGAACGAAATCATTGAACAGGCAATGAAAATGGACTATGTATTATTGGATGTTATTGGTTAATATAGAAAAAAGTCCTCCCCCCGCTAAAGTACCTAAAAAGGAGACCAGCTCCGGAAATCACCACCGACAAGGCGCCTTATCAAATGAGTCTTATGATGTATCAACCAGCGAGTAAGGCCCGAGGCAAAGCAAGCATGAAGTGACTATGCCAGAAGATGGGCGGACTGTCGAGTGGATACACAACAAGGGGGACTGTCGGCTGGCAGCAGTAGCAGCCCCGAGGGCCTTCCTGTAGAACAAGTTTGGACTGAGGCGCCGCCTTCCCTCCCATCCCAACTGGTACCCGAAGCCGTGGTTTCGCTTCCTAATGAGCGGGGGGCGAAAGCCTCGGATACAGGCATCGCACGGCTGTCAACAGTCCTTGTTTCACGCACCCTCAACCAAAACCACCCCCACCCCATCTCTTCTCCACTCTAAAAACCCCCGGAACCATACGAAAATGGCCACGCTGGCTTACCTATCAGAAAGCCGCAGCGTTTTACTACCGGATAGCTACTGTTTCCCCTTCTTTCTCCCCCTCTCTCCGGGTTCCTACGCGCCAACTTGAGAAGATAAGGGATTCTCTAATTTTTTGGCAGGTCACACATATCAAAGACCCTCTGCTATTTATCGCCTTTCTGCTTCAACATCAACCACCCTCAACATACCATTAAAATGTTGATTCTCGAGAAAATGAAACCGATTCCCAGCCACCTTCTGCCGTGGGCTAATCAGGAGCCACCCCCCTTCTTCCCCCTTCAGGGGATTGCCCCAACTGGTTCCTCGTCGCCTCGCAGATGGCAATGTCTTTCTCTCCCTCTGTTTCCGTCGCAATATGCAGGAGAAAGCACCGGTAGAGGGGGAAAAACGACTAATCGCAACAAGGGGGCAGTGGCTGCGTGGAACGGGCTTGCAACCAGCTACGCGTCTGTACACACGTACAAACATAGATGCGAAACGCTCACTTGTTAGGTGGCGGAGCTGTGGTATATTGGCAGGATGTAAAGTACCAAAATCCGATTGTTCGAGGGGCTTGCAGTATCTTAATCAATTTTAATGTTTATTTTTGCACTAAATAGCTTAACTGATTATATCGGTGTTTGTCCCGTTAAGGAATGTGCCGTCAAGCTGGCGGTGCGCTTTTTTGAGGGGGTTTTGGACGCGCTCAAGCCTGGGGGCTGCAACACAGACTGTGTACAAACAATCCCCTGAACCCCCGCTGGACACGAATTGCCCCCGGATCCCGCACAATATGCTAGTTTATTGAGTGGAAATTTTAAGGGTTGGGTAGTAAAATTGACGCGCTTTCTTGTAAAGTATTAAAGTCGGAAATTACAGATGAAAAGAGTGAAAGAATCAGTGTCACCTAATCACCCCTGGATTACTGGGGTACTGTAGCCAAGACATAATGAAGCAAGGTCCCGCAATTGTCGGTTTTAAGCAATGAAGTGAGGGGATCAGCCTCAAAAAATTATCAAAATCATCGCGTAATAGATAGAAAGAACGATCCACGCCTAATGACGGAGGCTTTTAAAGAGTACTGTATCAAAGGCAAAATTTATCCAACGTCTGAAAATCAAAGCCCTGTCGCGAATAAATTCTAGATGAAGTGCGGGGATCAGAATCGCCGTAAAAATCGGTAGCGCGCTCCTAGCGCGGGTGGAGCGCTGAAGGGGGGCCGAGTGGAGACAGGGCTGATTGGGACCGTTTTTGGCCAGCCCGGGCCAGGGGGGGGGCAATTGATGCTCTTTGTGGATATTTCGGGCCCCCGTCTTGGCCGTGCTCTCCGGGGGTCCCGTCGTCCCAATTGTGTCTGCGCGGCCCGGATCCGTTTCGATCTTGAGCGAAACGGGGGGGGGGATACCAATCGGGCAGTATCAGCTTTTTTTTTTGCGACCAAACGCTAATGGCCAAGGAGGGGGATTTTCTGGACAGAGGGACAATAACGGATGCAAATTTTCAAATCATGCAAAATTTAGCGTCGGATTTCGTCAAGTATACCCTTAATTGAATATTTTCGTGACATTTATTTACATCGTTTTCGCGTTTAAAGGTAAGTTACATAGCATAAATTCGACCACATCGTGCTGAAACTTCTAATCAGTCCACGGGAATAAGTTTGTTTTCAGCTTTTAAGACAGCAGGTAATACGGTAGGCCAAACTTAGCTACCTACAACGTTACCGTATTGTTTTATTCGGGCTAAAATAAACGTATCAAAAAAACCTGCGGCTTCCGGTTCGAGGGAGTAAGGCAAAGAATTTCCAGTTTTCTTCTGAAAACTAACAGCATTGAAAATATTAAGCATAAAAGTTAGCTACAGTAACACAAAAACACGACCCGAACATCCGTCCCCAACGCGACAAAATGTGCAATCGAGCCGTGAACGATGGGTATATGGAACCTCTATGGAAGTCTTTGTGCAGTCCTGGGACCCAAGAGGGTCCCGGAAAACGCCTGAGCCCCCCGGGGGGCGCCTCCATAAAAGCAAACTCGGCGCCTCTGAGCATCTTTTCGGGCCTGAAAGGGTCACCAGAAACCCCTCCTAAGAATGATCGCCCACCGATCGGTTCAACAAACTTATTGAAGGTGCTGTGGTTTAAGGGATAGACGGAAAGTTTTGGAAAACCAAATGAAATCTTTTGGAAATTTTGAGGAGCAGAAAATTGCAAATGTATGTAAGGTATTATGTTGAACACGAAAAGCACGAAATTTTAAAGGATCTCCACCGACTGCCCATCGACCACAACGATGTCCGCGCTACACGGAAACAATGTCAATGACCGTTACAATGGCCCGTTTTTGCCCCTTCGCCTCTCCGTAGTCCGACCTGAATCCTGTTGATAATTGAGCAATCGACCCCCCATTGCCCTCCACTTCTTCAAACACTTTCTAACAATTCGGCATCCTGACCAAGCTTCCACTCACTCCCCTCCCCCTCCTCTCCCAGGAGTACGGTAAGCCGCTAGGGAAGTTCCCGGGTCTGTTGAGAAATGAGGGACGGCATCCGGTGGGGCAAAGGAAAAGCCGCCCGAGTATAAATCGCCGTAGCAGATGCGCTGTGGTGGGCGAGAGAGAGGGAGTTGAGGTCCATCTGCGACAAGTGTTTCCACTTTCCACAGTTGGTCGGTCGACTCGATGCGCAGTTGTCGCCGCATATGGGGACGGGGTATGCTTGGGTTTTAGGAGGTAGTCCTTTGGTGTCGTGCCAGGAGTCATAATTTATGCGAAACTGGGATCGGGTGATTTTGGGGTTGTGAAATGAGAAAGTTAGAGCAAAGGGGAGCAAGCTTCTCAAGAAGTTAAGTTTAGTTTCTAAACTCTTTGGAGAAGCCGGTAGGCTATTTTACGAATATGGTACAGTACCGCTAATTGCAGAGTGAGCCTAATTATCAGGGGGTGGGGGGCGAGTAAGACAAAAAGATGGGCGTATCCCTACAGAGGCTTGAGCACGTCATCAGGTATTTGGTGTATGGGCTACAGTACCCCAAACAGCAAAGTATACCCTGCTACCACCGACAATTGTGAACTAACCCTGTGAGCCGAGTCCCAGCCACCGTAAGACCTTTGTAACACAACTTTTCCACGAATGTACGATGTACACCCCTTCCAAAGCTCACCTCCTCGCTATCCTCGAATGAAGTTGTAGACTGATTCTCAATTCCAGATCAATATCGGGCTGGCCTGAACTCTGTGCGCGCGTGGATTGGGGGTTTCGGGTTCGTGCGAGTCCCAAATCAAGCTTGCCGTTCCGCCCAACTTATCAGCCGGCCAGGTCCGTGATTGGGGACGCCGGCCCGCTACTCGGGATCCATCAGTTCGCAGTGTGTTTGGAGGGGGAAGAAACCAGCGAGCTAAACTCGGCCTCCCCCTCACCCCCCGTTCGTCCGTTCGATCTCTCTTGCTCCCCCCTCCGTTCGTTGGGTTTGAAAAAAATGAGCTAGGCCATATCACTTACTCTTGGCGTGTGGGCGCGCGCCCCATTCCGTGCGCGTCTCGCAGTGGTCGAGTGGAAAAAGAAGGCGCGGAAAAACGGTGATACACGCCAGCCAAGGTTGTTCTCGATGCGCGGCGCGCAAAAACGAGGAGGGACTGTGGAGGAGGTGCTGATTTACGGCATAGTCATTTCATGGTGCCCCCGGAGTTCGTCCTCATCACATTTTTTCTGGTTCGGGTAAATTCTTGGTCAAGTCGAGGGGTTCGAAATGAATTGTGATGTGCTGGTATGATTATTTTTTGTTCGTTATTGTTTGAGGATTGGACGTATGTACTTCTTGACGTATGCCTATACCTACCGTAAGCTTATGGTTGATGTGGCTAATAAAAATATCTTCAAATGCTTGTATATAATTTGTACTGTAATGTTTCTCATTGTAATAAATGTTTATATCGGCCTAATCGTAAAACAAACAACAAACCGCCGTGCGATGGCAATCATAGGTCTATTCTAATAAGGCTGTGACAATTTTAGAGGGGGCAGCACCTAGCACTTCTATGTCAAAGACTTCAATTCAAGGCCGAGGTCGCAAAACAGTAAGGCTGTCAGGGAGAATGGGTAGTGATAGATACCTGGGGAGTCAAATAAAGTTACTGGAGCAACACACTTAGAAAATGGCAATTATAGACGAAATTTACCGGTAGTCACGCCCCGGGGGAGGGAAAGCTAAGGTTTTGCATTGATTAGCATAGGAAAATGACTAAAATTAGGTTAGCTCGGTTCCTAGATGAAACGGTGAGCGATTTCAGGGGATGATAACGGAATCTGCAAAAAGTGGCAAAACCTAAACAATCAGCAAGCAAATGACAGTAATGTCGTCGGGTTTTCCGCCCTCAAAGCTTAGGCCGTGGACAAGGGCTTTTAGGGCAAAGGGTGAGGGCCGAGTGTCGGTTGCCAGTTTACGGGCTGTAAGAGCGATAGCGTTGCAGGCCTGAAAATTGTTATTACTGTATGAACCAAGAGTGCTACGTACCGAATCCAGTTTCTCGGCAGATTTTAGCACTTCCAATTCCTTGATGATGGTAGCAAGCGGAACATTATCCCACAACCCGTCAGTGGCAAGCAGGATGATGTCACCGGGCTAAAGAATAATTTTGATACCCTAGACTTTCTATTACCATTAATTCCGTGTCATACTCATCAGCTCTGGTGGGCAAATCCTTGAGGAAACCACCACCTAAAATCAATATAATTGAATGTACTGAAAAACATACCATCAGGAGCACTCGACAACTGATATGGCGCATTAAAATAATGTAGCTGCTCCTTACTTTGATAAAAGAGCTTAAAAATATGTTTTTAATAGATATGTATAATCGATACCTCGCCGCCACGCACAACAATAAATCCAGAATCTCCCAAATTTGCTGAGTATAACCGGTCTTCATGTAGGGTAAGTAGACAAGCTGTTGATGACCCATCCACCCTTGGTCGTTCGTTGTCCATGGTTTTGTAGGCCTTTTCCAGGATTGTTACCGGCTTTGTTGGATCGAAATCTCCCTAAAAAAATCTGAATAATTTTTCAAAAATGTTCCTACACTGTGAGCAATCTTTTTGCATTCCCGCATTAAGCGTGTGGAATATAATGATGGATCGACGCCTCGCAGGCTCCAGCCCCCGACTCCATCAGCCACTCCTGAATGAATTTTTAAGGGTATAATTAAAGCTTCTTACCAACAACATATGTTCCATTGGCCATTATGCTAAAGCACGCATCTTCTCCGTATACATCCTTTACCAGTACCTATCAAAATAAACGTTAAAGGTTTGGTTTCATGTAATTACCTGGCTAGCGCCACCCCTCATATTCTTTGCAAAGCCGCATTGTGAAGAGTAGATACTGAGGCCCTTTTTTGGTCTCTGCTTCTCGCCGACATCTGCTGTGGCTTGTTCTTGAATTGTTTCTGAAATATAAATTGTATCGTTGGGTAATTTAACGTACTCTTGAAGGGGCCCTTTGTCGCTTCCTGTGAAGTCGTTGCAAAGTCGACGGCACCGGCTGAGAATACAGCCCGGACCGCATAGCGGCCGGCAGTTAGTAATCTACCCGCCGCCTGTCTGCTTCCTCCACCAAGCATGCGGGGGGCAGGTCTAAAAAGGCCTTACTTTATTGTACAAATAAATTTTAAAGCCTATACATAGTAAGGAAGATCAAAAGGTAACAATCGCTATTACGAGTCGTAAGTAGCTTTACGATTCGGCAAATTTACTAGCTGATATCCGAAGATTCTGAAGGTTGGACCTGAAACAACAAAAACCTAAAATATACACAGCTACATGTAAATACCAGCAAATCATCGAAAAACTAATAACGAAGGATGCATTGATTGAGGGTCTCTACTCCCCGAGGGCACACGTGACGCACGAGAGAGCACGCTGTAGCGGAGACCCCCGGCAGTTGGGCCCCATATCCTCGCAACTACCTAACAACAAAATGCATGCTAAAAGCGAAAATTCAGGGCTAAGCCCGCGAATAAAATGATGGTAATATGAGATAAGATTAAACGCATAGATGCTAATCTGTGAGAGATCATGAGCGACTCAGCTGCTCAATTTGCATACGATGGCGTCACGAGCATCCGGGGCTTCAAGAAAAGACATATAAAGCCTAAAGTTAAGTCTAACATAAGCACCAATTCGCCCGTCTTCGTCGCAAATGACTAATTAGAAAATACATGATAAAAGAAAAAATTGAGAGCAATGTCTGCACACAAATTCTCACTTCGTTATTCAAATCATTCATGAAAAGCAGTTGAAAAACTGAGTAACTTAATTTGCATACGATAACGTACAGATCATTTGAAGCCTCAAACCGAGGTTGATCCGGCCAAGGCAAAATTTCAACGTAAGCTTCCGCTTCCAAATTCTAAATAAAAAATAACTGAAGTTTCATTGCTTTTACCCCGCAACCAAACCATGGAGAGTAAATATTGGAAGTTCCGTACCTTAAAGCGAGAAGTACATATGATAAAAGAAAGGAATAGAGATATTAGTAAGTATAGGTTTTATACAGGAACTATCCGAAACATCTACAGGGTGTCCCAAAAAAACCCCTATCTAGCGGTCCGCAGTCGATTCCGATTTTTATTATTTAGCTACCTATCGAAAGCTCTCGAAAAAGCGAGAAAACAAGCGGGTTTCGTTTTCTAAGATTAAATCTTGTTCCAGTGATATGCAGGTTTTTCTAAAAAACCGGCAATGTTTGGACAGGAATTTCGCATTAGCATGCAGATCCTGCATAAATCAGCAGTTTTCATGATTTTTGGACTTAAAATTAGCGAAAAAAATGCATAATGAAGAAAATGAACCCTCCTTGTTTTCTCGCCTTTTCGAGAGCTTTCAATAGATACCTAAATCGACTGCGAACCGCTAGGTAGGGGGGGAGGGTGTTTTTTGGGACACCCTGTATGACCAAAAAGCCAACGTTCTCACTTCAACCACTTTTTTTTGCTCCCAGTCTAGGATTACAGAAAGTAGAATTTGAACACACACGGTCTGTACGTTGATCACTGATTACCCACAAACTCCGCCGGAAAGAAGCGCCAGGAGGAATTTGCATACTCATTGGCGGGGCGTATAAAATGTTTTGGGAAAATCGAGAACGGAAACACTATTTGCCTTCACAATCACACAATATTTTGACTATTCGTCAACAATGTCTAGTACTGTAAGACCCATTTCAGCGCAGGGATCCCCAAAAAATGATGGTGAGGGTGAAGTGGTAGTCTTAACTTTATTTAGACCAAAACGCCCGGGCCACAATCCCCGCTGATGTCCCGGAAATAAAGCGTCGCTTCGAGCTAGGTGGCAAAACTCGATATGCGATTATGGTTATGGGCGTCATCTATCTGTCCATCTTGCAATCAACGTAAATTTCGTTATTATCAAAAAAAAACCGTAGTCTTTAGTGTCATCGCTTATAATGCGACCTTCGTGGCAATGATGGACATCACTTCTTCGCCGTATTACTATGAAAACATCACTGATCATGAAATTTCACAGGTTAGGAAAACGGACGTATCCAAAACGAAAAATTTAGATTCAATGGGACTCGAGCGAGCTTCCGATTGCTGATCGTCGATTTCAATATAGTGCATTGGAAAAAGCGCTGACCTTTGCTGGTAATCGATTTTATTATACCTAAATATTTTTTAAGGTGCATTTGGTGGAGCTCTTGTAGGGACGCAACCGGTCGGAGGGTTGATCGGAAAATATGGGGAGCACAAGGTTTGAAGAGATATCTAAGCAATAAATACTCTATCAGGTTATGATGATCATCGGGATGTTGGCTACGCTATGCGTCGTCCTCGTCCCAATCTGTATTACCACCTCCTTCTGGCTTTTCGTAGCTGTTCGTTTTATTTCGGTAGGGAGTACGAAAAGACTATATTTAAATGTCACAGGGTATCGCACTCTCGAATCTCTTCCCGATTGCTGGAATCATTGTCAATACGTGGGCCCCGGTGACTGGTAATAAAATAGTTGCTTTTCCGATGCAATCTCCTTTAGAAAAGGGGCTTTTCGTTGCTGTACTCTCCGGCCATGTTGAGCTGTCACCACTCTTTACCATGCCGATGTCCGGCATTGTCGCGACAGGAGGTGGGATCTAAGTTTGGAGTTTTGGATCTCGAATCCCTTTCCAGTAAGCTGGCCGGCCGTTTTCTACATGCACGGATTACTGTGCGCTATTGGGACGGTTGTTTGGATTCTATTTTATAGGTAGTTTCAGTAGAAAATAAACAATTAAAAAAACCTAGGAATGACCCTAAAACCCATCGTTTTGTCGGGCGTGCCGAATTGAAGATCATCAGCGAGGGCAAGCAGGCGAAGGTGGAGGGACAGCGCGTTGAGGTACTGTCGCCCAGTTATATTGTACTTTTTCTCCAGGTCCCAGTCGTTCGCATCATCCGCTCAATCGTCATTTGGGCCGTTTGGATCGCCGTCATCGGAAACTTCTTTGTGGCGCAATTCAGGTGTCAGGGTTCTTCCAGCTTGAAAACATGCGTTTAGTATCACTTACGCGCCGATGTACCTTGCATACGTTCTAAATTACACTGCACTCGAGGCTGGGCTGATTACCATGATCCCATTGGGGTTGCTGGTAGGCAAGAGGCACTCATAAAAACACAAAACTGTTTCAGCTTGTTTTGAAATTCGCCACTGGCATGGTTTCTGACCGTCTAAAGTCTATTTCGGAGGTTTGTACTATGTAGTTTTGTTAGCAACAAATGATTTTTTTAGGTGGGAAAGCTTCGTCTCTTCTCTTCTCTCTCGCTGCTCGGCTCGGGCTGCTTCTTTATTCTAGTCTCCTTCTTCCCTCCAGGATATCACGTTGGAGATGTCATTTTGATTGGTAGCGTAAACCCCAGAGTATACAGTAATAATCTTTACAGTAATCCCCGTGGCTCTGCTTGGCTTTCAATCGGGTGGCTACCCAAAATGCGTAGTGATGGTGTCGAGGCAACATTCAGCCTGGGTCATGGGCACTGTGCAGGTATTTGACAATTAAAAAAATAAACAAATTGGGCTTCAAGATGCTTGCCGTGTCGTCATTGGTAGTTGGTTCATTTGTGGTCCCGGCAATGACTACAGAGGATACTTTCGAGCAATGGAGAAACGTTTTTACGCTTTACGCAGCATTAATGGTCAGTGATTTATTCGCCGAAATAATATGGAACTTGCTACGCCTACCTAAATTCATTTAACGTTAATTCTAGGTCCTATGCAACACCATCTTTGTATGTTTCGCCCGGGCGGACCCTTGCAAATGGACCTTTGATGCGGCCATTGGGCAAGACCAGGTAGTATCGGCTACATCAAATAGCATGAACGACTTAATTAGGTAAAAGCCGAGGAAGCTGTTGAGAGAGCTGTACGGAAGATGAGCACAGCACCCAACTGCCCGGTAGATGCCCCACCCCCAGCTTCGACCACACAAACACCCGTGCAAAGGAGAACTAGTCATTCGGACTCGGTTTATAGCGTTTAAGTATTTATATATTTAAGGAATTTTGAGACTTTTGTAGTTACTGACCCATACTAACTCTTATTTTTACTAATTACTAACCCCCCTGATCTCATCTTTATACCATTCACGCTGTTTTTAGAGGTTTTATGTCGAATAAATTTTTGGCGTTACTTTATTTGAGAGCTTTTGCACAAGTTACCACTAAACCGGCGGGGAATCGCGAATAATTTCGAATGGTTGATGCAATAAAAGGGATTGTGAGATACAGGATATACGCTCGAGCACGAGGGGGGAAGAGGAGGAGGGGGTTCTTGATGAATGATGAGTCTGAGCGGCGGTTCCTTGCTGATACGCATTTCAAAGAAATAGACAGAACGCGACATCGCAACGAAATGTGCGCCACGTGAGGCCGATTTTAGGGAAAGGAGCTGTGATTGTGGATAAATTTTGCGGGTGGTATACAGTATGTTTTCAAACTTCTTTCCGGATAGCAGTTTGTGTTTTTCATTGCCAGCTTTCCAAAACGTTCGATGGCCAGATTCTAGCACGAACAAGTCTGGGCTATTGCCCCTTTTCCCCTCGAAACGTTATCAGCAGTCTACCGAGCAGATAGCACCGTTTTTTACTAATTGCCCAGACCTTTTTCATGCAACTCCGGGAGTGGGGTTACTTGCTTGTTTTTACTAAAGTAAAGGTTACCTAATTCGCTAAACCTAAGCCTAAGCCTGCCTAAGTCCGAGCCAAGTCCAAGCCTAGCTCACCTTTGCTTAACTCATGCTCTTCAGCTCACTGGGTTCCCAACCCCCCCTTCCGTTCGCAACATCTCTTTCCTGTCACGTGCAAAACGATGTTCTATTTGTTGAGAAGATTTTCTGTTCCCATTCCCCTTGGGTCATGCCTATCATCTCCTAAAACACAGTTGGAAGGGGGATCAATCCAGCAATAAAACCGCGAGCTATCCAAAAGCAATCTCCTTATCCACCCCCATCCCGCCTCCCTCCGCCGTCAGTGGTGCTTGAGAGCCGTTCGTGTCGAACATCGGTCGCCATCTTTAAAAAGCGCCCTAGGGCGCCTCTCAATGATCACTGCGTCATCTTTGCCGCCGCTCTTATAGGTCGGCTCAGGCCTCATCCAAACAGGTTCCCGTTTCCTGCTCTTGTTCATTAAATAAATATTTTTGAGCGTTTCTGTAGGGCAGCTTACTTCTAGACGTACAATGTTGAACTGCGTACGCGCATTCGGCTCGATTTGCCCTCGAACGCCGCACAGGGCTACGGTAAACACGACAGGTATGAGCTTGAGATAGGCTATCAGCGGGTTGCAACTTAAAATTTGTTAGCGTCCGATTCCG